TATCTCTAGGTGAAAATTGAGCTGAGAATATCTATCATGATCTATTCATACTAGAACTGAGAGATTGATAACAGAAATTTATTAGAATAAAGCTGAATGATTTCTATGCCATCAAACAGAGTTCTATTCAGAATTTAAATCTTGATGAATTGATGAATCAGTTGACTACTTGTGTCACTATCACTACAACTCATCTCAATTCATCTGCTGTGAATGTCATCAATGAATGATTTGATGAATATCAATATCACTATTGTGAGAATACAGAGCATATGATTAAACACTGCTGATTCAAGAACTCAAATCTCATAAGTACTGAATGACAAAAGCATAATAAGAAGCACATTGAGATATTGAAAAATAGAAATAGAAATAAAACTAAGAATAGAAATAAGAGCAAAGATAAAAACACAGAGAATCTACTTGCAAATCAGTTAAGTCAAACATTCTTTACAACAATTTCTTCAAATATTTAAGAACTTTTGAGAAATTAGTTAGATTATGAGTGAAATAAGAAAAGAATTTGATGAATACAGCAATTGAAATACAAGATAAATTGACAGAGAAGATGAATATGATTGATTTGAGCAGGACATTAGCTAGTCTGTATGATAGCTAGTCTGTACAGTAGCTTGTCCAAGGAGAGGTGTTGGAGCCTAGGCTTCCTATTATGGACTAGCGCACTGCACAATAGTATATAGCATCCCTGAGATAGGCTACCAATACAACCACTTCAGACGTCCAACATTAACATCGTACCCTAGCAGCGGCTCATTTGAATTTAAATTGACCGAATTTATAAGCTTTAATAGCTAAAAGAAGCCTTCCTTCCTGACTAGAAGCTTGACCTTGCGTTTTTGTGGGCATATTGAATGATTTAATGAGTGGGAATAGTTAGGATGAAAAGCGGTGCATTCAATGACGGATTTACATTCCGTATGTTCGAGGTTACGAATCATCGTATCTACTTCGCTTTCAAGCATTCCATGATTTTGATGTTCGCTCCGGCCAAATTAAATGGGTGGCTTGTCAATTCAAGTAGTTAACTGCCCATGTAACTACCTGGGTAGGTACATGTACCTAGGTAGTTAACCAAGGAGAGAAGAACACTAATAGTCAAGAACAATAATAATACAGATGGATCTTCACTGCTGCTCATTATGGTCAGAAATGCACGGAGAAGAAAAAAATCATACTTAACGTAATCCACAAGCGAGCGGGCCACCCAAGCGAGCGGGCCACCAAATTCAAAATCCTTCTACTTTAACTACTCAACCACTTGAATGCGTGATTATGCCACCAATTCGCAAAAAAAAGCAAGAGACTCTATAGAGATAGAGGGAAGACTTGAACTCGCGATATCTGCTATTAAAAAGCAAGAAATAACCTCAATTCGTGAAGCTGCACGTCATTTCAATGTGTCACATACAACTCTAGGTTATCGACTGAGCGGTGGACCTGCACGGGTGAATTTACGCGCAAATTCAATCAAATTGACTGAAGCTGAAGAGAATCTGCTAGTTGAATGGGTGCTAGATCTAGCTAAACGAGGATTACCCCCCCGGCCGGCGTTTGTTGAGAATATGGCTAATCATCTTCTTACCCTTCGCTCTACACCAACCACACCCTCCCACGTTGGCAAGAACTGGGTGTCAAACCTGATTACACGCCGTATGGAGCTTCAATGCCGCTATTCCAGACGCTGTAACCATGAATGAGCAAAATGTGAGGATAGGAAGGTTATTCAGGAGTGGTTTAAGATTCTAGGGGATACAATTGCTGAGCATGGGATCCTGGCTGAGGATATCTACAACTTTGATGAGACTGGATTTGCAATGGGCCTCTGCGCAACAACTAAGGTCATTACCAGTGCTGAGCGCTACGGCCGGGCAAAGCTTCTACAGGCTGGAAATCGTGAATGGGTCACCACGATTGAGTCAGTCAACGCGTCAGGATGGGCCCTACCCCCCTACATTATCCTTAAGGGTCAGAATCTACAGGAAGGCTGGTTCGATGGGCTTCCAGATGGCTGGAGACTTGATGTTAGCTCTAATGGCTGGACCACAGATGAGATAGGAATCAGATGGCTTACTAGGCTGTTTATTCCAGCTGTAAATCCACGCAGGGTTGGCACTCATCTACTTCTTATCCTGGACGGGCACGGCAGCCATCTTACCCCTGAATTTGACCATATCTGCAAGGAGAATAGGATTATTCCATTGTGCATGCCTGCACATTCATCCCATCTCTTGCAGCCTCTAGATGTGAGTGTTTTTGCGGTGTTAAAGCGGGTCTATGGGGGTCTGGTTGAACAGCAAATGCAGCTTGGATTCAACACCATCAAGAAGGGAGACTTCCTAGATGCCTATCCTGCAGCCCGCGCAGAGGCCTTCAAGTCTCAGAATATTCAAAGTGGCTTTATAGCTACTGGAATAACCCCATTTGATCCAGATCAAGTTCTTCAACAACTCAACATTCAGCTCTGAACCTCTACCCCCCCAGCCAGCCAATCTAGCAACTCAGGGTCATCCTGGATCCTACAAACACCTAGCAACCCGCGTCAGTTGCATAGACAGGTGAATAAGGTCAAGGATCTCATGGGGGAGAGGCTTGAGAGCTCACCTCAGGGCTTGATGGAAGGATTTGACCAAATTATCAAGGCCTGCGAATACGGGATGGTCAGTGCCACCATTATGAAGAAGCAATACCAGGATATATTCAATGCCAATGAGAAAGAGAAGCAAAAACACAAGAGATCTAATCACAGAATTACACGTGAAGGAGGCCTAACTAGGGAAGAGGCTCAGAATCTTATTATTCCACCTGTTGAGCCTGCTGAACAGCCCGTCATTCAACCCCCTGATCCTGCTGCTCCAGAGCCAGCACCATGTTCACGGGCGCCACCAACATGTTCAAACTGCCATATTGTAGGGCATACAAGAAGAAGCTGCCCTAGTCCTATTGTACTATAATTTAATTTAATTAGGGGTTGTTGAGTGTGAGTATTTTGGGTTAAAATCTACTTAATTACTATACGGTGATTTTGGTGGCCCGCTCGCTTGGGTGGCCCGCTCGCTTGTGGATTACGTTAATTTGAAAAATGTATGCAGAGAGCAAATCTGCTAATGCAATTTCAATTAGTAGTTTCGCGCAAATTTGACACAGCATGAAAATAATCCCTCCTCATTGACTCCCTAATGCAGCAACAAAATGGGCCGAAATCCTACGGCCATAAGAAGGTGGCAACACCTCCCTTCTTTTGATATGCTACCCCAAAGCATCTTTGAATTTTGGAGCTCTTCCTGTCCGAGCATGGTCTCAAGGTCTCTTATATGTGTTACGAGGGAGAAGAGGAGCTGTGTGTGGGTTTGAATCTGGACTAGCAAAGTATGGTCTGGTACCCACTTCAAGCTCGAAACATTGTTGGCTTGCCGTCCAACCAAAGTTGACGTCATTCACTCATGACGGTAGGGAAATTACATCACTGCATTCTCAGGAGAGGAATTGGGGTACAACATAAAAAGCCTCCGGTATATCAGAAAGAAAAGACCAGAAAGAAAAGAATAGGAGAAATTTATGGCACGAGAAGTAAGAGAGAGAGTTTTTTATTTGTCTTTGCCCTCCAGCATCTCTGAAAGTAAAAAGTAATTTGCTTTGGAACTGCTGATTATCATCAGGTCATTGAGTGCTTGGATGCAATTAATCTGCTCTTATTGAGTGGAGGGGACGGTTCTGCAGCAAACTCACTTTTACCATCACCATCACAATCACTGTCACATTCGGCCTTTTATTCATGAATCATCATCGAGGGGATCTGGATAATATGTTTGGACATCCCTGCTACCTTCTATGGAATATGACAGTGACCACCGAAACTTTCCTCTCCTGAGCAAATCATATCACCCCGTTAATAGGGAGAAAGCCGCGAAAAGATAGATCATGCAGCTAAAGTCAGCCGGAGAATTCTTGAAATAGTCATTGGATGTTTATGTCTTACGTGGAGATTATGCTAGTAAGTCGAATCGTCAGACTTCTCTCCTCTTCCATTTTTCCATAATTAGTTTATTCATTCCTGTTAGTTACTACTACTACTGCTATTATTATTATTATATTATTATTATTATTATTTAGCCTCATCTCGCTCCGGCCACCTGTCGGTCATGAGAATTCCCACAGGTTTTGATAACGCCGGCAGTGGATATTCTACTGGGTATAAAAGGCATCGCACAACGTTTGTTGCTTAATTACTTTGCTCCATGATTTCTGAAGCTTCCACACTCCCCCAAGTCCACCTATCTCATATGGGAACACTTCATCATATCTTAGCCCCTCTCCTCTCTCACTACGCTGTGGGCTGGAACTAGACCCACTGGCGAGCCAGCCCTGATGTCCAAGAGGTTGATAGGACATGAACTCTTTTAAGGTTTTATATGGGATCCACTCTTGCGTCACTCATTTATCCAGGATTCACTGATGAGAAAATGGACGTCACCGGTTACGATCCGGCTCTTATGCCTGACACTGCCGATTTAAAGGACTGGAGTGGGATGAATGGGTTTCAACGCCATAAACTGGCATAAAAAAATGTTGTTGAAATATGGGGGGGTGGAGACCTGAAGAATGGTAAAACTAACTAATACGCTGGTCGAGTTTTATTATTTTTATTATTATTATTTTTATTTTTCACGATGGTGCCAGATACTAATAGGCCATTGTTTTCGTTCTTGAGTGACGACCTAAAAAAAGGGCACGACACAGGGCTAGGCTAGTCAACAATGATGACCAGCCAAGAGAGAGCTTGCGCTGGTAAAGGTAATACATACTTAATTACAAGCTTGCCAAGTAACTACATGGCCCGGCTTTGTTCTCAATCGGGGAAAGTCTTCGTTTCCTGCCAAGCGGGCCAGCCAACATGTGAATGCTGTAATATGTATGCAATGAATAATGGGGTCGCCATGAGAAATAAGATAAGATGGGGATAAATAACTACACCTGCACTTCTATTTACGCGATCCTAGTACCAGCTTGTCCTGCCTCTTTCTGAATTGTGGTAAATGAAAGGGGCTAATTTGGGTGTGGGGAGTGGAGAGTGGAGAGTTAGGGTGGGGAAGGATGAAGACGGAGCAGGAGGAGAGGAGGAGAGGAGGAGAGGAGGAGAGGAGGAGAGGAGGAGAGGAGGAGAGGAGGAGAGGAGGAGAGGAGGAGAGGAGGAGAGGAGGAGAGGAGGAGAGGAGGAGAGGAGAGGAGAGGAGGAGAGGTGGAGAGGAGGATAGGTGGAGAGGAGGATAGGAGGATAGCATGCTCCCTCCTTTCCCTTCCTGCACGTCGAAGAAGATGCCAAACATGAAGCATGCTATAAACCATATGATGATTTCATTGGGCACGGGTGGATACGCAGTTCATGAAAGACTCAGAAAAGATCCTCAGGGCACTTCTTTGCTAATGGCACATTACTATCAAGGACGTACCACTAAATAAGGCAAAGCTTTTTAGTGGATCTATCTCAATCTGATATGCAACATCTCTTCCTTTGGAGATAATTCGAATCTCGAATGCGTCTGTGACTCTAGTTATGGTCAGTTTGGACAAACAGTCGAAGCATTTATCAAGAGACTTGGAATTTTTATTTTGCTTCTTTAGGCCACTAACCCTTATGAGAATTTCTCTCCAACCACGCTTCCCTGCGTCCGTGGGTCAGCCTTAATCCATATAATGACGATAGCATGGCGATGAAATGAGGAATCGGGGTTCCATATACTTTCTATCTTGCGCTCCCAACAACTGATGTTTCACCTTACAGCGTTTTCGACGCGTTCTTCATGAACATCGTTTTCCTAGCTTCCCGCCTCTAATCCGGGAATAATGCCATCAGCAAACCCATGGAGACTGCTCCAGAAGTCAGCTGTGTTATTATTGTGTTGCCCCAATTGAGTTGGGGCCCCCGTTCTAGTTCAGGGGCCAAGGAAGTGAATAATGATTGGAGTGAGTAGTCTTGTTTGTTTACCAGCTTACCTGCGGCGATCCATGGATTGTGAGAGTTACCCTCCGCTGGCGGAGTGTTTCTTTTTAAGGTCGCTCGGATGTGTGTTTGCTGAGCCGGCATAATCTGCCGCCTGGTCTGGGGGCACGCGTGTATCGGGTGTTGTTGTACCGTCCAGAGTAATTTTATCGCCAATAATAATATATCTTACCCCTTTTCCCTTCCTGACCTTCCCCACAGGGAAGGCTAGACAGTTTCCATCGTTTAACTAATGTTTTTTCCTTACGGAGTAACTAGTTAGTTACAGGATCAAAGATTGTAAGCTATGCAACTGATTAAAAGATGAGAAAAAAAGGGCAATGGACCGCCCACAATTTTCGTGATCTGTTTAACTACCTAGATAGTACCAACTATCTAATAACTACTATGTCAGAACTGGCAGCTCTTTTTAACTAAAAGTATATTGGATAGTTCTCTGTGTGCAGGTGTGTGTAACTTTTCTGCTCTCACAATTGATACTCAACCCTGCTAGCACAACAGAGGTGAATGAAACCGCATCAAGCATGCATCTGATGAGAACATGGGATGTAGCAAAAATGAGTTTGGTGATCAGCACTTGGTGTTGCTGCTCTGTTACGTCATCGGAAAATGCCACTGTTACAAGATGACAGAAGTTGAACACTCCGTACATGGGGTGACATTTGAGTTCAACTGGCTTGGCGCTTCTTTTGAACTAATAACTAGTAGGATAGATTCAGATTACTAGCAAGAGTATCTGTGGACAATCCTCTTCATCCTTTTTTATTTTATTTTATTTTTATTTATCTCTAATTTCTTAAACAATATATATATATTCCGAAACTTGCTCGAGATGTGGTACTTGTGCTTCGTGGTCATGCCCATTGGTAAAGGCATAGCTATATGGGGAAACCAGCCAACTAGGTGGGGAGCCCTGGAGCCCCGGGCGCCACATCCCTGCTGTGCTAAGTAAGGATCATACCCGCTTGACTAAATGATAGGGGCACAGGCTGCTCAACTCCGGCGTCTTTAAGGGCAAGTCTAGGGATATCATTCTTCATGAAAATCAAGCTTCTGGTTTCTTCGCCAACATAATTATTCTACATTAACTAGTTAATAGTGAGCAAGTTAACTACTACATATACTTGAAAAAGTAATGAAAAAAGGAAGAAAAGAGACTCAAGCCTGGCCTCACCCATCAGAGATGGTCAAAATTGTCCATTGAATCACCTTCTCCCTTTTTCCCACTTCATCCAACCAACCAACGAACCCCCCCACACCCCACACCCTCCCCCCTTCATATTTCTTCTTTTCTGTTTTCTCCCATGTTCCTCTAAGTCATGAGATGTCCTCTGATCTCTCCTTTAGCTGCAAGTCTTCCGATGCCTCTTTCTCCCCCTAAATCCAGTTCCGTTGCTACAAATAATAGTATCAAAGATAATAATCAAACAATACTCCCAACCATAGTATATTTTGTCGTCCGTTGAAGACGTAACCTAGAGAAGAAACATCCTTTGGATAACAAAACATAGCAAGCCGACTTAGAGCTTAGGAGTAGATTTTTTTGCAATTGAAAGACCGTCTAGACTGCTGCTATCCGCGCCACATACGTTTCTCTCAACTCCCTTCATCAACTCTCTTCCTAATAGTCCCTTCTGTGTCTTCGTCTGCCGTGGTCAATTCACATTTCCCTTCTGCTGTTCAAGTAAACAGGAGGTGTAGATTCTCTCATCTCATTATATCTTTATTATTATTATTATTATGATTATTATTATTATTATTATTAAAAAATATATCTCCCTTATTCCTCTTGTTTTAACCAAAAATTTCGCCTTTCCCTCTCATACTCTTTCTCTCTGCCTTCGGGGTTCCCCCTAGCCACGCCCATACCTCTTCCATCCTACGTCTCGAGTCCGTTTTGGGGGAACCAATCACTCCACTTGTGCTTAAGATCATCAACCATACCCTTCTCCCATAACTGTGCCGGACAAGACTCGCAAGGCCTGAGCTTCCCGTTGCTTAGCTTGGACCCGTTTTGTCCTCAAATAAAATATTTCCTTCCCGCCCCGAAATATCATCCGATGGTCCTGCCCCCGTCCTTAACCACTCCGCTGATTATGATCAACTCAACAACAAACACAAAAACACACACTAATACTTCCCCTACAACTCACGTCACACATCACATATCATTGATAGATTGATTTACCTCCACAGGATAGTTATATTTTATTAAATTAGGAAATTGGGACTTCCCCAAAGACAATAGCAGGATCTATTTTATATTTGCCTTGACATGATTTACCTGATTTGCTGTTCGGCGTAATACTGGATACCGCCTTGAGTTGTTTGTTTAAGAAACTCTCCCCCGAGAAAACGTTTGGCGCAGGTAATGTTAGTCTTCCGCCTCCCTTTTCGTCATCCTTCGGATTCTTTGATTACTCCCATTTTCTGTTGGTTTTGCGCTTTTCCGTTTTTCTCTCTTTATGCAAAATCATGTGTACTGGTTGGGTTGTTTTGCGATCGTCTTCTACAAAACGATGGCACACAAGCCATACTAAATAAAATGGCTGTTGAAGCTGCATGGAGTTTAAAAGCATGATGTTGCAGATATCGTGAATGCTTAACGATTACGAGATTGGTTGCGATGGTTTCTGAGACAGGCGGATAGCTGGTTGACGATCGATATCAATACCATACTTTTCAGTGGGGGATCCTATGCTTCCTTTGCCCCTCTTGAATTTGTGGTTGTTTTTTTTGACTCTTTTTTGCCACGATAATTCAAGCACTTTATTCTATTCTGCTTCCTCCTCCCTCTCTATATCTCTATATAACCATCAAGTTTATTTTGTTAATACAGGGAATTTTATTTGCTGACCTTGCTACAAACAACACCTTCAAATAGACAAAATTCACATCAATAAAATCACAACACGCCAGCCACGACGTCAACGAACTTGGACGCAACTATAGTTTCCTCGTCTTACCCTACCTCACTTCCCTCCATAGAAAACGCTACCAACGAATGTGCTTATCTCCTTCCTTCTGGAGAATCCAAAGAGACGAAAACTTCTTACATATTCCACATTGCACAGACGATCGGTTTGCCTTGCTATCCGGTCTACACCACCATCCTACCCAGTCGCTTCATGTGAGGCCTTTTCCTTCTCCAACCTCCCACAAAACCCGTCAAACCTATCAGCTTATCAAGTGCAAGTGCTTGACTGCAAGCAAAATGTCTCATCTGGCCTACCAACCCCACACGTCCATTCGACGTAGCCCGTCCTCTTCCTCTAACATGCCACCCATAGCAACACCTTCCACAGTACGTCAAACCGACATCATACTTCATTTCATTTCATTTCATTTAGATTTCATATATTTCTGCTTATGCATCACTAACATTGACATTTTACACCTGTATATAGACAGACGATAGCACGCCCGATCTTTCCACCCTAGGCGACCACGTAGAGCAAACAACCTTCGAACAAATTCTAGAAATGGATGATGACGATGCGAGTCGTGAATTCAGTAAAAGCATAGTATATGGATTCTTCGATCAGGCCGAGACTACATTTCGAGAAATGGAGGACGCAATGTGAGTGTTCTGTGGCTACATGGGCCATTTTCCATTGCCCCATTTTCCCGCCCCAAGCACCCATTTTGCCTATGACGTCACCTCCAGTCTCGCTTCCCTCTTTTAAAATTTTCCCTGAGCACCCACCACCAACGACGAATGTAGCCCCCGCATCGCATTTCATGTACAAAATCCCTCACAAATATATATCCTCCATACAAAGTTATAAAGTTGCTAACCAAAATTAATCTCTTTTGAAACCGCCTTATAAAATAGTTCTGCAAAAGACATTAAAGAAGTCACTCAACTAGGTCACTTCCTCAAAGGCTCGTCGGCAACGCTAGGACTTACGAAGGTGAAAGAGGCGTGTGAGAAAATTCAACATATCGGCGCTTGCATAGACGATTCAGGAACTGTGGAGGAACCGGACCTGAATTCTTCGCTGACAAGTATTAAGAAGACGCTTGGTGATGTGAAGCGTGATTATAATGATATCGTGACGAGGTTTAAAAAGTTTTATGGAGAGAAAGCTTGAGATATATAACAATGATGTTTGGGTTAGGTCGTGTGGCTGAGGGGATTGAGATCGAGATCTGGGGAATCTGGTATTGGCCTCTCCTATATTAGCTATTAAACGGACTCGAGGCCAGTAGTTCTGAAGAAGTCTGGACGCGAGGGAGGGAGATATAGGCATGTTATGGACTAATGTCATGTTATGTGGTATGTTTTCTCTTCTATTTTTTCACTGTTTTTTTGTTCCCTTTTTTCATCTTCTACTTAGCTTTTTGTCCTTTTTATGGTTGCTGTCTGGCGCGTTTTTCTTTTTTCCGAGATCTGGAATCCTTTTCCTTTGTTCTATTTCTCCTCTTTTCTTATTTCGATATCATTGTCGTCACTCTTCAGTGCTCTTTCTATGTAACTGTCATTCTCCTATCTCCAGCTTTTCCGCTCTCTCTACCTGTCGCCTACCTCTCTTCTTGGATATCATGTTATGTCTTCTCCAATCCTCCCCCTCCTTTTTTTTTCTTCTCTTTTTTCTCTGGGTTTCGTATTCCAACTCAATCCTCATTGAAACGATTCCTCCATCCTGAATTTCTTGTCTCGCCTTTGCTCTGCTGCAACGCACTCACACCTGTTGCTCTATGTCTAAGCCATTTACTCATCTATGTTCAATCTTCCTTCCCTTCCTCCTCATCTGCTCCCACGCTCAGGGGGAAAAAAGAACGAGAGAATCAAGGGAAAACAAAGAGAAAATGACTGATTCCATTTTATTTTAATTGATTAAACTTTTCCTTCCATGTCTTCCTTCCTTTCTGTCAGGAACATCGCGTTTTCCTATCGCTGAGGCTACGGTGACACCTCTTTTACCTCCTCTACTTTATCATATTTCCCTCCCCTATCTCAGATTGAGAAACGAGAAGAAGTTTAGGGTATTTAAATGACGCGTTCTCATTTCATTAATTTTTCTTCTCTTTTCTGTTTTCTTCTCTTTTCTGTTTTCTTTGTTTTTCTCTTTCTCTTCTTCCTCTTCGTTCTGTTATCACTTCTTCTCATATGTTCAATGTGTCAATTGTTGTTTTGATACTTGATATTAAAAGCATGGCAGTTTCTTTCTTTCTTTCTTTCCGGTTTCTGTTTCTATGTGTACATGCAAGTGAACATATTAGCAAGCGAATGACAGCTTTTGCTTTTTTCTTGCACTTTTGCTTTAGAGATGTGCCCAAGGAGAAAGGGATATTAAAACAGGAGCCGTTGAGAATGTATTAGGCACAAACTAGGGGAGATTGCAGGTTGCCCTTCTCTAGAGCCGGAGACTGGGGCTTGAGATGAGGATGGAATTAAGTCCAGTTGGACTCAACTGATGAAAATGAACATGAATATATACGAATTTAAAAATTATTTGCCTAACCAACCCGCTGGGCTATTATATAGGTAGACGCCGTGCAAGCGTGATTGATAGTTGATATCGACTCTCCATCCCACAGATATTCTATACATCCACGTGATCAACCCCAGTCTAAGCTAGCTAGATGCGGCCTAGTCCCTCTTTTCTCTGGTCTTACGTCCCTTTCTGCCCAAGGGAATCTGCCTGTCATTTCAACAAAAGTTAACTTTTTCCTGTTTCCCTCGCTCGCCCTCCTCGTTCTTTCCAGTCTTGCTTCTTCCTGGGTTTCAACTTCGCCTTAACGGCTCTCGCTAGGCGCGTCTTAATAAACAAACGTATACATATACATCTACATATATATTTATATATAAATGTACGCAATATAAACACTTTGTGTCTTTTACTTCCTTCAACCCCCGTTAGACTAAATCACCCCCTTTTATTTAGAGACACTCAAAACGAGTTCGCAAGAAGGAAACAACTTAACTTCTGGAGACTTACTGTTAATTTCCTATTTCCCCACACCCTTCCTCCCCCGTGCAAAAACGTCACAATGCGTCTCTCATCGACCTTCCTCCTCCTTCCAGTTTTGGCTGCGGCGCAAGACCAGATCCCACTCGTAGAACGGTTACAGGGATGGCTCAGCAAAGCCAAGTCTTTCATCCCATCCGCGACGCCCGTACTATCCTTGACCGCCAAATCTGCTGCTGTGACTGCGGACACAGCTGCGGGCTCGAAAGCGGGCCCGAAAATCGTCAACAAGGAGGTCGTCTCCGTCAAATTGGCAAATTGGCAGTCGATACTTGCTCCTACCAGTGAAGGTTCGGCTGAGCAATGGCTGATTTACGTGACTGGTGCGAATAAAACGTGTTTTGGACGTTGTGCGAAGGCGAATAAGGCTTGGGAGGTATGTTTTGCTATTGATATTTTTATTTATTTATATTTATTTTTATTTATTTTTATTTATTTTTATTTTTTAAAATACATCTCCGTTTAGTTTAGCTTTTTATTTTTGGCATGCCCCGCAGATCAAACCAGACTAACCACTTTAATACCCAAATAGGACTCTATCCCCCTTCTCTCCGCAGATGCGTCTTCCCCTTCCCTCGCTAAGGTCAACTGTGAATCTGAAGGAATTCTCTGCTCCATCTGGTCTGCGTCTCCCCCAAGCATCTGGTATTGGCAGGTCCCTGCCCGCCAATTGGGACAGCCAAAGCCAGCGACACCAATCCACGTAGTCCGTCTAAACGCGACCACCGTTGATGCTGAGACGATCTACAAGATACACTCGGAGAAGACCTGGAAAAAGAACGGGCCTTATAGCAGCATTTTCCACCCGGTCGACGGCCCACTGGCTCAGTATGGACTTAGCGTGCCCCTTGGCTACGTGCTGTACGGGCTAGGTATGGTTCCTAGTTGGCTTCTGATGGTGGTTATTAGCTTTGCTAGCAGGACTTTGATGTATGGACATTTCTTTTGTTCACACTTTCACCTTTCACCTTTCTTGTTTATTCTGTTGTTTTGATACTGATTATATATATTTCAACAGGGGCCGGAGAATGGGTCCGCCACGACCACAGGTTGCTCCCCCCGCTGGAGCTGCCCGGTAAGGTATAATAATGTGCGTAGGTTATCTTTGATGTGCTTTTGATGGTTATTTATCATCTTGAATTTATTAACCGATGTTTCCGATTTTTCTTTGCATGGGATATCCGGGGAATATATCTGGTTGTATATAACACGTCGATTTTGCTGGCTTTCTCTTTTAATTCTCGTTTTTTGTGTAATGGGCATATCACGAATGATGCATATGTCATGAGATTATAAAAGGAACGGACAATCGATAGTTTTTTTAATACTTTTCTTCATGCTTTACCCCAATCGTTTCCTGTTTGGGTGGTACTCTGATAGACGGCTTCTTGCGTCGGTTTCGGCGATACTTTGACACTCAGGGACGGTTGGAAGAGCAGTTGTCCGAAAGGAACATGGCTTTTATTTTTTGTCTTGGCTAAAAAACGGTACAATGAAACCAAATCTACTGGACAAATACTAGTGACATCCTACATCCTTTGTGGGTAACTATTAATCATTCGTTGTGGGGGGTCATACATGGCCCGCGTGTAGTTCGCGCGCTGCTGCAAAGAATAATAATTGCCTTTTGATATAACGATAGAGCTTCCAACTTTTGTTTTCCTACCAACCTATTTACCAACCCAACTCACGGCACCTCTTAATACCTCTGTAACCAAACAATAATAACATCAAATATATCTAACTGCCTACCTAACTACCTCCTTACTTATTTACCTAATAAACAGCATATATTATGGCCTCACCCCCACTCATAACGGAGCGCACTCCACCCACCACCACCGCCCTCGTCATCGCAGCCGCCATACTTGCTGGCATCGCGGGCTTTTTTATCGGGCAGGGCGCATCGTTGGGAATTTTTGGGTCCAGTGCGACAACACCGAAACGAAAAGGGAAGAGTGGTGGGGAGAGGATGAGTTGGCCAAATAGCTACGACGTGAAAGTCCATGCTGAGTCGGAGGACAGTGAGGATGAGGACAGTGAGGATGAGGAAGCGGACGGAGGGGCAGGGGAGTTAGCTGCGTTCGAAGGGAATACGGATGAGGTTAAGCTTGTGCTTGTTGTTAGGACTGATTTGGGAATGGGGAGGGGTTTGTTATTCTCTTCTCTTGTTCCTTTCGTTCCCTTTTACTTCTGGTCATATTGGGGATGTATATCCGGGGGGCATATCCTGCGTCTCTACACAAAGATCCAACTAACCAAGAAATCCAAAAACCCTCCGCCACAGGTAAAATCGCCGCACAATGCTCCCATGCCACCCTCGCCTGCTACAAATATTACCTCTCACGTGCACCGGACTCCCCCATCCTCAAGCGCTGGGAGCGGGGCGGACAGGCTAAAATTGCGTTGCAGGTTAAGAGTGAGGAGGAGCTGTTGTTGCTACAGGCACAAGCTGTCAGTTTGGGTCTGTGTGCGCAGGTCATTCAGGATGCGGGTCGGACGCAGATTGCCAGTGGGAGTCGGACGGTGTTGGTGATTCTGGGGCCGAAGGGGGTGGTGGATGGGGTTACGGGGTCATTGAAATTGTTGTGATTATAATATAGATGTTGTGCTTTTTACAATGATTTTCAGGGATGGAGGTTTTTATGATATCCTTCGGGATTGTTTGATAATGTGGTATGCTATTGGACTTTGTGCTGTACTATAGACATATATATTGCGTCCTGGAGAACCAGATAATAGAAAGATACCCGTCGGAATGAAAAAAGGAATGCATGATTTCTCTCTCACAAGAGAGCTTCGTAAAATTCCAGAACAGATAGCACTGTATCATAAATCATCCATCTTAATTCTCCCCTTTTCCCTCCCAAGTACCAACACACTCACAGTACATAAATTGAATTGAATTGATGTTGGCAAGTCATGGTTTTTCCCTAACCTCATCAGCCGACGGCCATAATCGGTAAAGGGAGGTGGAATATGACGCCCACAACAGACACCCGGCCATCTCACCGAGCTCACCAACCCGCAAAGGAGAAGGGAGCTCAAGGTAGAATGTTAATCTATTATTAATGAAATTAAAAGAAAACCGGGCTGCTTGAGATTCCCTCTGAGATCTGTCGACCGGAAATTGACACCATGAGAAGAGAAAAAGAAAGACTCCGTGATGGCTCCATGTATCGTCGAGATGTCCAGCAATAACAACCGAAACACAGCCATAGTACGAATACTCTGGTGGATCAGGACTGCTGGACACAGATCTGGATTTGTTGTGATGAGGAGAGAAAAGAAAAAAAAGATGAGGGAAATTGAATGTTGAATATTTTTTATTTGTTAGGCTAGTGGTTGAATAAAGCGCTAGGCCTAATTGGGATCGGGTCGGATTTAAGTGAAGTCCCCAGGCTTCTTGTCATTTCAAAGGTTGAAGTCAACTGTTGAAGTTGACACTCCAGACGAACCACGTTTTTCTGCTCTGTGCCTCACTTTTAACAGTTCAACCTCTGTCATATCTGTCTTCTAAACAGTCATGGCGGACGCTCTCTCAATCGAGCAGAATAATAAGATCCGAGTGGCACTTGGTCTGAAACCCCTTCCTGTCCCCGGCGCCATCTCCAACAATGTCAACGGCCCAGTCTTTAAACAGTCCAGAGACAGGGATGACCCAGCCGAAGAACCAGCAAGCACGCTAGAATCGCGACAGGCACAGGGCTATGACAACTGGAAGAAACTGCAGGATGAAGCAGCGGCGAAGAAGAAGCGCCAGGAGAAACTGGATGCTATCAAGCGGGCACGAGAAGCTGCTCAGAAACATGTGAAGCTTGAGGGCAAGGGGCTTGGTGAGGTTGATGAAGAGGAGGCTGCGCTAGATACGAAAACTTGGTTGATGCAGCAGAAGAAGAGACAGAAGAAGATTGAGAAGGAACGTGCGAAGAGGCTTGCGGAGGAACTGGCGGAGCGGGAGAGGATTGCGGAATATACTGCCAAGGACCTGACGGGTGTCCGCGTGGGCCATGAGCTGGGAGATTTTGAAGAGGGGAGTGAGCAGATTCTTACACTTAAGGATACGACGATCGATGAGAATGAGGAAGAAGGGGATGAGTTGGAGAATGCTGAGTTACGAGAACAGGAACGGCTCCAGGAAAAGCTAACTTTGAAGAAGAAAAAGCCAGTTTATGATCCTAATGATTTTGATGGGCTCGGTTCCGGTTCTATTTTGGCACAATATGATGAGGAGATTGAGGGGAAGAAGCGGAAACGATTTACACTGGATGCCAAAGATATGACTGCGGAAGAACGGGAGGCGAAACGACATGATGTGACGTCCAAGCTGAAGGTGCAAGCTGTGAGCCTCGACATCACGCCTGAAACTACCGCTGCCCCATCTGACTACCAGGAAGCCACTGAGATTAAAATCAAGAAGCCAAAGAAGAAGACGAAATCTACGAGGCGGAAGGCGGTGGATGAAGATGATATCTTCCCCGCCATCGAAGCTACAGATGCGGCTAATGGAGGAGATAATATGGAAGTGGATTCGGGAGCCGTCACAAATGGGCTTTCCACTCCAGCTCCGAACCGATCAGGTAAGGAGATATCTTTCGTCGATGATGAGGATTTACAAGCGTCACTGGCAGTCCAGAGACGAGCTGCGTTCAAAAAAAGGAAGAAGGTCCGCCCAGAAGATATCGCGAGACGGCTGAGAGAAGATTCAGAACAGGAGCAGAATGGAATGGATGTGGACAAGCCAGACTGGGAGGATGACGGTCCTGGTCTGGTTATAGATGAAACGTCGGAATTTGTCGCAAACCTACAGCGTCCAACGCTCCCAGATCGCCAACAGCGCTCTGTCTCACGTCCCAAGGAAGCATCGCCTGAAGGACAGGAAGCAAATGATGGCGATACAGATATGGAACGGTCGTATAATGAAGTTGAGGATGAGGAAGACCTCAAAGAACGCCTGAAGAGAAACGAGTCTACGCCCGCTGTCGAACTTACCGCTACTGGATTGGAGGAGGAATCGACGTTGGACAAGGGCCTGGGTTCTACACTTGCCATGCTCAAACAACGTGGACTGGTCGTAGAATCAAACGCAGGCGACTTGAATTCCCTGCTCCGCGAGCGTCAACGATTCCTACAAGAGAAACTTCGCCGCGAAGCAGAAGCCGAAAGACGCGCACGCCTCCAACGAGAACGCGACCGTACATCTGGGAAACTGGACCGCATGTCCGCTCGGGACCGGGAAGAATATGCACGACAAGAGAACAAGCAGCGCGACCAGCAGGAATCGCGACAAATGGCAGAGATCTTCAACCGGGAGTACAAGCCGGATGTGCAGCTGAAGTATGTGGATGAGTTTGGGCGGCTGATGGATCAGAAGGAGGCATTTAAGCTCCTCTCCCACCAGTTCCATGGCAAGGGAAGCGGGAAGATGAAGACGGAGAAGCATCTAAAGAAAATCGAGGAGGAGAAGAAGCGCGAGGCAATGAGTACGTTGGATAGCAGTCAGCATACGGGGATGAATAATGCGATGGGGGCGACGGCGAGGAGGAATCGACAGGCGGGGGTTAGGCTTGGGTAAGGAATTAAGTTTGTTCTGTATTGTATCTTGGTATTGTTTTTCATTTTCTCTGTGGTATTGATCATCCACGTCTGTTCCATGGTTTCTACAGGTGGAGACGGATGCATATTCAGCATAACCTTGGATGCACAATTATGAAAATATTGTGTTTTTGACAGCTAAAAGTGGAGTCAGAATCATATTTTCGTGTCAATCGCTCCGGTTTCTACCGGTGAAGTTGAATCATGTCTGTTTCACCAAAAGATTCGTCCTGTTTCTCTTCCTTTCGTTGTACGGATGTAGATAGACTCTTCACCCACAGAAATCACATTCTCTCTCCCTGCTTCGATCAGATTCTCCTTACCTACGATCACATGGATACGTGGAACCATGAAGGTATTGCCGGATTTAGATCGTTGATAAAAAACCCTATCGCATGGATTTCACCCAGACTTAATTTTCATGTTATCTTAGGTTTAGAATAGTAGTTATCGAGGAAGTTGTACAAATTAGTATTTTATTGTAGATTCGCTGTTGCATTCAACACCTACTTCTAGGTCCATGGATGGTTTCGTCACAGATTTCCTTTTCCTCTGGAGCTCTACCGTTGAGCGGCGCAAATACAAACTGAAACAGGAGGAAGAGACGGGGTAACTTTGTTGGCATCTCCGTAGCGATTCGAGACGAGTAGTCGAAGGTTGCCTAGGAGAAGCTCTCAACCTCCGACTCAAAACTGCCAAGGTAGCCACCAGCTATATGCATGGATATTTCGAAGAATTTGGTCTCAAAGTCAGCTAGCTACCTTGGATCGGTCAAGCGCCAGAATTTCACCATTTCACTGGCCTATGAGTTTCCCTTTTATTTTATTTTATGTTTTTTGTTTTTAGTTGTTCGGTTTTTCTTAACGAATTGGCTAAACTGGAGGGAACTTTCGGTGAAAGAGCAAAATCATGGGTGTAAACAGAATCCTCTCTGTTGGTAACTAACTATTAGTTAAAATCATGATAACCCGCCCATTTAAAACTACATGCACAAACACATCTCACAGCCTCTATATGCTCTTGACGGTAGTGATTTTATCATATTTCTCAGACCCTTATCCTTAAACCGAAATCCAGATCCTAACCCTCAACCTACCCTTAATACTCGTATCGAGGGCGGTGAGGCTGAATAGACTTGGAGTTTCAGCGTGTAACTAATTATATAGTCATGTACGGGGTAATACTCCGCAGAATGTTTGTTTTGGGTGGAACAATGGTTTTTGAAGGTACAAACCAACGTTCAGCCTGTAATATTACCGTATTCCTGGTTTTAGGTTTCTCTCACTGACATTTTTTTTTTTTGGACACACATTCACCCAAACAATTCCAAGTCTCTCCAACAGCTATTTTGAATATTCTTCTCGCTCTTTAGCTTGACAGTCCTTCATTATTAGTTAAATTAATTTATAATTCAGCTTTCTGAGTTTTGTAATTTATATTTTACTTTTTCATTCCTCTCCTCACGTAACAGCCATGTTGTCAACTTTGAGAGTCGCCAGCCGACGAGCTGCGGCTCGCGATACCACTTTGCGCATTTTCATTGCCGGTGCTCGTCCGGCTTCTACCTGGGCCAATGTAACCCAGGGTCCGCCAGTACGATCTCCCGATTGAACATGAAAAACTGTTGGAGCTTCAATTGCTGACTGCGCTGTCGTTGTTCCAGGATGCGATTCTTGGCATCACAGAGGCATTCAAGGCTGACTCGTTTAAGGACAAAATTAACTTGGGTGTTGGAGCTTACCGTATGTACATGGACAGACATATCTGCCCTATTATATATATTTATATATCCTGCTAGCCATTTGCTGACCACGACCTCTCCTTGTGCTGCAACAAAGGCGACGACCAAGGAAAACCATACGTCCTCCCCTCCGTCCGCGCTGCAGAGGAGAAAGTGATCAAATCCAACCTTGACAAGGAATACGCCGGCATCACCGGTGTGCCAGCCTTCACCAAGGCCGCCGCGGAGCTTGCCTTTGGCTCCTTCAGCCCCGCTATCAAAGAAGACCGCATCGCCATCACCCAGAGCATCTCCGGCACAGGGGCCCTGCGGATAGCAGCCGCCTTCCTGGAGCGCTTCTACCCACACGGCAAGAAGATCTACATCCCAACCCCAAGCTGGGCCAACCACGCCGCTGTCTTCAAGGATGCGGGCCTCCAGGTGGAGAAATACCGCTACTACAACAAGGACACCATCGGCCTGGACTTCGAGGGCCTGATTGCCGACCTCAAGCTCGCGCCAGACCAGAGCATCATCCTCCTCCATGCCTGCGCGCATAACCCGACCGGCATTGACCCGACAGAGGCGCAGTGGCGGCAGATCAGTGACGTGATGAAGTCCAAGGGACATTTTGCTTTCTTTGATATGGCGTACCAGGGCTTTGCGAGTGGGGATACCGATCGCGATGCGTTTGCCCTCCGGCATTTCTTGCAGGAGGGGCATGGGATCGTACTGTCGCAGAGCTTTGCAAAGAATATGGTAAGGCCATACATAGATGCAAGGGGATATATAGAAACCCCCACCCACCCCCAACCCGGACCGGCGGAAGCGGATGATGGATGGAAACATCTCTAGTTTTAATGTAATTTTCCCTGCCCATGCTTATTGTATCTGATATACAGGGCCTGTACGGTGAACGTGTCGGCGCCTTCTCCGTCGTCTGCGAGTCAGCCGAGGAGAAGAAGCGGGTCGATTCGCAGATCAAGATCCTCGTGCGACCCCTTTACTCCAACCCCCCGGTCCACGGCGTCCGCATCGCCTCGACGATCCTCAATGATCCCGCTCTCAACAAGCAGTGGCTCTGCGAGGTCAAGGGCATGGCTGATCGGATTATCAAGATGCGTGCGCTTCTCAAGGAGAATCTGGAGGCGTTGGGGAGCAAGCATGATTGGAGTCATATCACCAGCCAGGTGTGTTTTGATTTTGATTAACCTTTCCCGGGGTAGATGGGAAAGTGGGGGGGGGACAGCGCCTTTTGACAATGTTGTAGTTATGGAACTGGTAACGGCTAACTGTGTGTGGATGGATTAGATTGGCATGTTTGCATATACAGGCTTGAAGCCCGAGCAGATGGAGAAGCTTGCTAAGGAGGTAAGGAATTGCACTTTTCTTCTGTTTTATTTGGGAAGACACCGTCAGATCACGATTTTTCCTAACTGACGTCTCTTCACAGCACTCCGTCTATGCCACCAAGGACGGCCGTGTCTCCGTTGCCGGCATCACCACGGGCAACGTCAAGAGGCTAGCCGAATGCATCTACAAAGTTACCGGATAGAGAACCTAAACGAAAAGAGGGGATCAAAAGAAATGATAAAATCGTGCATATTCCAAAGATACTATTAGAATTTAGATTGGGCGTGGTTTTTTTGATATAACCATCTATCTTTCTCTTTTGCGGCTCTTTTCTTCTTCGGTTGGGTTTTGTATTATTGATCTTTTTGATGTTGGTCGTTCTAGTTCGCTTGGACCTTTAGGGCACATCTTGGCTCTTTTGCATACTTTCTTTTTCTTTAGATTTTGTCTTGTCGTTCTCTCTTTTCCTTTTGTTCTTCTCGACTACCACTAGCCTGCGAAATGATGAACGGTAGTTAGTTGTACTTTGTAGGAACTTCTTATTTGCCTGTTGATTGTCTGCATTTCAATACTTGGTGCTTCAGTTAGATATATCTCTTCTTTCTGTCTCTGTACTCTGTATCCTCTGCTAGATTCTCTCTATATATCTTCCACATAAAAGACATAGCCATGTATATTTAATTCCTTTAGATTATATTGCCCGATTAAGTCAAGGATTTTTCTTCTTTTCCCAACCCCTGATTCGCCAAGACAACAGGAGTTTATAAAAATAACTCATGGATCACTATGCCGGTCTGCATGCAAATCCTTGGGAAGCAGGTTTTCCGCAAACCACACCAAAATATCTATGTCCCGTACAATAAGGATGTTCTCTATAACCAACGGTCGAAAGTATTTCATTCCTGCAACTACGAGGTGTTAACAGTACAGTAAAATATAGTACAGTACAGTAAAATATAGTATAGTACAGTACAGTACAGTACAGTACACACCACATGAAAAATTACGGCAAGTTCGTCCGATACAGATATACCGGTCTTATGGTTGGCCACTGCGGGTAAAAAACCGGCAGAACAGCGGAGGTGGCGTCGGCTTCTCCGCAAAGTACGGGATGGCGCAATTACCAGCGGTATACCGGCTACTCCAGCCGATGTTGGCTGTCAAAAGTGGTACCTGCTGTGTATACTTACTTCTATTTTGCGACTCTGCATTTCCTTGTTGCAACAACAGCAACAGCAACAGCAACAGCAACAGCAACAGCAACAACAACAACAACAACATCTCACTCTATATCATGTGCAGGCCCCTAGAGTCTGCTCTCATCTTTTCTTTTACATCTCCATCCCCTTCTCCATCATCCTGTCCTGAGATTCCCTTCTTATCTTTCTTTCCCGAGGTACCTCTGGCCTCATTCCCAGGGCACCAATGGCCCCCAACTCCGTGCTCCCCGTCGCCCTCCAGAACAAATTGATGTCCGCCCGCAAATCCTCCTCAGGCATCGTCTCTTCATCAAGTTTTAACCTGTGCGGAACTCCCTCAATACATGATCGTGATCCAATCTCTGGCTAATCCATCGGTGCAACTCCGATCCCGCAGGGTTCGCAATGTCGTTTTCTTGGTTTTCCTCCTCCGCATTGCCCGAAAAACTTTCTACACCCTCCGCGGCCACGGTATTCTAGGCTCCATCTTCAATGCCGGCGCCTACGTACGCCTGGTGCTCTACTCTTTATTCCTTCGCACCCCTGGTGTCCGCAGTAAGGTTGATAAGCAAATCGCTGCCGCTATTTCTAAAATGGAAGCCAAGATCGCCCCCGAAACTCCGGGTATCCCCAAGAACACTAGCCTGCCGAAACTGGGCTGGAGCCATGACCGGATATGCGAAGAGTTGGATAAACTGGCTGGCATGGACCATACAGAATGGGAAGAAGGGAGAGTCAGTGGTGCTGTCTACCATGGCGGTGATGAACTGGTCAGTTTGCAGACTGCCGCTTTCGGCCAGTTTGCAGTTGCCAATCCTATTCACCCTGATGTGTTTCCCGGTGTAAGGAAAATGGAGGCGGAGGTTGTGGCGATGGTGAGTTTGCGGGAAATTAAAAACCCTCTCCCGCATTTCTCTGGCCCTTTTTGGTTTGCTGGGTTTTCTGATGCCCCGCGCGATTAGGTGCTTGCGCTTTTCAATGCGCCGCAAGGCGGTGCTGGTGTGACTACCAGCGGTGGCACGGAGTCCATTCTCATGGCTTGCTTGTCTGCCAGACAGAAAGCATACGTTGAACGAAGAGTAACTGAGCCAGAAATGTAAGTCTTCCAATCTCTATTTTCTCTTAACGCGCTTAAATCCGGAGACTTATCGACTCCAGGATCATCCCTGACACCGCCCACGCCGCCTTCAACAAAGCCTGCCATTACTTCGGCATAAAACTCCACAGCGTCCCCTGCCCCCCCCCAGACTACAAAGTCCACATCCCCTCCGTCCTCCGCCTCATCAACCCAAACACAATCTTGCTCGTCGGCTCCGCCCCAAACTTCCCCCACGGCATCGTAGACGACATCCCCGCCCTCTCCTGCCTGGCCCTCAATTACAAAATCCCTCTCCACGTCGACTGCTGCCTAGGCTCCTTCGTCATTTCCTTCCTCAAACGCGCCGGCTACCCATCCCCCTACGAGGAAGAGGGTGGCTTCGACTTCCGCCAACCCGGCGTCACCAGCATCAGCGTCGACACGCACAAATACGGCTTTGCGCCCAAGGGTAACTCCGTCATCCTCTACCGCAACCGCAAGCTGCGCAGCTACCAATATTTCATACACCCCGACTGGTCTGGTGGCGTCTACGCATCCCCTTCCATCGCCGGGTCACGTCCCGGCGCACTCATTGCAGGCTGCTGGACAAGTCTCATGGCCATGGGCGAATCGGGATATGTCAACAGCTGCCACCAGATCATCTCCGCCACGCGCACTTTCGAGCAAGCCATTCGCGAACACCCTGTGCTCTCCTCTTCGCTCAAAATCATCGGAAAACCCTTAGTCAGCGTCGTAGCGTGGGAGTCGAAAACGCCCGATATAAACATCTATGATATTGCAGATGCGCTTGCGGATAAAGGGTGGCATCTGAATGCACTGCAGTCGCCGCCGGGGATGCATGTGGCATTTACGGTGCCCACTGCTGCGGCTGTGGAGAGGCTTGTGGCGGATCTTGTGGCTGTTGTTGAGCGGGAGAAAGAGAAGGTGGCGGAGCAGAAGAGGATGGGGCAGAAGGTTGAGAAACACAGGGGGGATACGTCGGCGTTGTATGGGGTTGCGGGCAGTATTCCGGATAAGAGTATAGTTAATAGGTTTGCGGAGGGGTTTTTGGATACGTTGTATCTTGCTTGAGCTGGGAGGGAGAGTTGCTGTCTTTTTTTTTTCCCTTTGTGTTAAAGAAAAACAAAAAAAATGCATTTTTAAAAATGTACTGGGGAGTTTGTTTCATGGTTAAAGAGCTGGCTTTTGTTCTTTCCTTATCCTCTTGTTTCCCTTTTTTTTTCTTCTTTACTTTCTCTTTTAATTTGTGAGATTTCCAGATGTGCTTAAAGTTTTTGTGGATGAGGCAATGCTTCTCATTTGAAAAAAAGTTTAATTTAAGACAGGTGCCCATCAGATGCTTGATTTCTCATTTACATCCTGCATGTCTACACGTTTTTCGTCCATTTATTGATTCATTTTCTATTGGAATATCAGATTCAGAGGGAGCAGGGTCAGCTCTGGGGTTCATGAAGCTTTATGGAGTAGAGGAACGGGTACGATGTCTGCAAGCAACATAACAATAAATTTGAACATGAACAGTTTTCTATCAACGCAAGTAAAAGATGTCTAGCTAGTTATACAAGTATGTGCATCCAAGGGGGAAAAATATGCCTATGAGGTTCGTGAAATAGTCAAATGAGATCCGGAGGAAGTAGATGAATTTGGCAAAAGGGTGATACGTGAGCCAGTTGGTGTGAGGGAGTAGAGGGACGAGGAGAAACAGAAGGTTCGAGGTGAGGTTAGGAGGAGATTGGGGCCCTCACTGTCATATATCGGTCGTGTCGTGTCGAAGCGAAGAAATGGTATGGGGACGGACGGATCACGCCTTGTTCTGTTGGTATATCTGTGTGGATGTTTTCTGTCGATGCAGCAGATAGACATGGGGCTGCCAATCTCCTTCTGCTGGCGGGAGATGATGGAAATCAAGGGGTTATTATGAGAGAGCCATGGGGATGACGTTTTCACTCTCCGTACGGTCCAACATCGGGTCTCTATCTCCTGTTCACAAGCCATGCATCCCAAAATCATCACATCACTACCTAACCTCAGCAGTCTCAAACACCCAATCTCTGTAGATGAAGGGGAAATATCAATCAATCTTCTCCTCACGCCTCCCTCTTCTCCCTAAACTCCTCCTCCGCCCTCTTCTCAACATAATACCCCGGGTCCGGCTTGCGCTCCAAATGCACCTCCAGCTTCGTCAATGGTTTCTCCACCTCCCGCACTGATACCAGTTCTTTCACCTTCATAATCTGGCCGGCCACATCGGGAGTGACGGGGTAAAAGACAGTTTGCATACGCTTTTTCAGTCCGAGAGCCATGAGGACGCCTGTTGTCCGGCGGGGCAGACCTATGGCGGAGCGGACGAGGGTTATTCGGAAGTATGTCATTGTGGAGATGTGAATATGGTACGGAGCATACGGATGTAGATGCCCCGATGCGCGAGTATGGGGGAGGGTGATTGGTGTGTGTATGCTTGTTCTTGTGTCACTCGGAATCAGTCGGCAGACAGTCGGCGTAGCAACGGCTGAGCGTTTTCGTTTCGCAGAGGTGTACGGGTGTTCGTTTGCTCGTTTGCTCGTTGCTCCCTTTTCTATTCCTCTTCGTTCCAGAGTACTCCTATTCAGCGAAAAAAAAAAAAAAAGAAAAAGAAAAAGAAAAAGATAAACTTTCGCAGCACCACCAGATTTGTGCTCTGAAATGAGGTTGGGATATCCGGGTGCTTGTCAAGGCTATCTATCGTTGACACTTGGGTTGCTGGAAGACAGCTGTGACCTTCCGTTCCACGGGACTCTGTCCTTTTCTTTCTCCACGGTCTGGTTGGCCTCTAGATCTTTGTCCCACACTTGTGCAATTGCAAAATCCAGATCTTCCGGTTATCCACTTCCGGTACTGACAAAATCCAACTCTAGAGGTAGGTTCCCAGCAACACCACGACTACAGCTGCGATGATTCGAGCGAAATCAGTGCTAAACTGGTGCTTTTGATGAAAGTACCTGCGAGTACCCAAGCCGAATTGATCCGTTCTAGCTTGTAATTCTCTATCCTCCCGGATTGCGTCGCCAATGCTAGAAAGTATCGATATCACAACGAGTCGTTTTTTAACGCCAGTCAAAATAGTTCCCACCAAACGACGACGACACAAGGGAGGGCGGACAATCGATAATCCGGAACCAATGCCGACCCACCAAAACCTGCAGCCGAGTGTGGCTGGTGAAATTTCCCAAAACGGAAGGTTTTTCCGGGCCAGCATGCAACCCAGCGCCACACTGTCTGTGGCGCAGCGGGCGGCTGCCATCGAGGATCACATCAATCGCAACAAGAAAAAGGAGAACAAAACAACGGCAAAAGAAAAAGGGAAAGGAAAAGGGAGCGGGAGCGGGAGCGGGAACGGGAACGGGAACGGGAACGGTAGTGAAGAGCCGTGGGACGTGCAGACTGGACACGGTCCAACTTCATTGCAAGAAGCCAATGTCGGAGAGGGAGAAGATTTATGGCCCAATGCCTCGCCAAATGATTCCGTACCCGAGCCGCAGTCCATAACCCCTGATAATATCTCTGTCCAATCTCACCTCCCTCCCGATAATGCTCATATTATTACCACCACCACCACCATTACTACTTCTGCACGTGCCGTAACCTTAACCACATCGCAAACTCCGACTCCTAGCCCATACTCCTCTTTATCAAGGGCTACACTATCTCGACTTGCGTCCATTGCGACTGGGAAACGCCGGCCGAGCCCCTCATTCGAACCACCTCCTGGACAAGAGGTCGCAAATCTCAGCTTCGTGTCGTCTGTCCTTGCGCTTGCGAATGCCCCGTTTATTACAGATGCCAATCGCATAACCGATCGGAAGCCAGTTCCTGAACTTGTCTCTGTGGAGGCGCAGGAAACTTCCAGTAAACCCCCTTCCTGTCGTACATCGCCGATTCTTGCCAACACCAATATGCCACCCGAAAATTTGAAAACAATACCTGATGATGGCAGTTTGGATGGCGGGGTTGCTATGCCTAGGTTGGAAGATCTACTGCGTCAGCCAGAAGATTTAGATAAAATACCGGCATTGAAAGCGGAGTACTCTAGGAAAAAAGCGGCAGTGGATGCACAACTCCGCGAAGGATTAAGGGACCAGCTTGAAACAGTACAACGAAGCATAGGCCAGCTTACAGAGGGTCAACGGCATGTCTTGAAAGTGAGAGACGAACTACAGGGCATTGATAAATTGTGTGCCGAATCCCAAGGCACAGTTGGTGATTTCTCGCAGATAGATAAGCTGGCTAGGATACAGCGGAATTTCGAGGCCACGATAATGATGAAAAGGGGCCTGGAGAGCTTCCATAACGAGCTCAACGAGGTTGAACGGTTATTACGAGAAGATGACCGGGATCTTGAAAATCAGCCAAATCTTCTCAGTGTTCATATGGCTATTAGCAAATTGAGAGATTTCCGGGACGAGGCTATGGATCAGATACGCAGAGCGCAGGATAGGAGCGCTGAAAATACATTGGTTGAGTGGTTTCAAGGCCTTGATTCTGTGATTGAGTGGTTCGATGATCACCTTGGAACAGCTATTATGAATCTTATCCCGCTCATACAGACAGATAACCGCAGTATGGTAGTGCGCCTAGCTCTGGTTATTATGAATGAAGAGAAGAACGATGCCAAGGTTCGAGCTTTGCAGGAGGCGCAGAAGGACCATAAGGCTCTGGCCAGCCGGTTCAAGTCGCTAAACCTTGGCCCTAAGACCGTCAAGGGCTATAAAGAGAATTTTCTAAAGAGTATCGAGTTATATGCACAGACCCAGTTCGAGATATCCAAAGATACATTTCTTGCTGACCCAGATAAGCTGGAAAAGTGCTTAAAGTGGTTTTTCAATGATTTATTTTCCGTGAAACAAGGGATGCAGTCTCTTATGCCAAAGAAGTGGAAGATATATAGCGTCTACACAAACATCTATCACCGAATGATGCATGACTGGCTTATCGAGTTTATCAATGACCCCGAACTCCCCACCGCCAATATGCTTGCCATCATACACTGGTCTGAAAAATATTACGAGAAAATGGCGAAACTCGGTTGGAAACAATCAGACCTTGTTCCCAACATACTCGATGACCGCGAGGGTGAGCTTGTTCGGGACTGGCGGAACCTCATTATCAAGACCCTGGACGAGTGGATGGAGCGAATGTGCGCGGCCGACAAGAAAGCTTTACTCGAGCGAGATAACGACGCTCTAGATACCAACCCGGATGGATACTTCCGCACAAAGACCCTGGGGGATATGTGGCGAATGATTCACGAGCAGACGGTAGCTGCAGGTTCGTCTGACCGAACAGATGTAACAGAAGGAGTCATAGATGCCATGTTCCGCGCTTTGAAAGCCCGACAAACCACTTGGCAAACTGTCCTCGATGAGGAATGCGCCAAGTACAAAAATCCCACAACAGACCAAACTGAAGGCATGCAACAATTGCAAGACTGGCTCATTGCCATCGCCAACGACCAAATCGCCTGTATCGATGATAACGACGATGCCTCGAGCCAGCTGGGTTACCTCACCCGCTTCAAACGCGACTTCGAGTCACTCGTCACACCAAAATATATGGCATCCCGCGCGACCATGGAACTCGACAATCTCCGCAACGGCTACGTGGACCTAAGCACGCACTGCATAAGTCTCTTCATTGAGCTGATCTTCACCGTCGACTTCCGCACCACGCTGCCAGACTTCTTCACGCAAAAATGGTATGGCGAGTTCGCCATCAAACGCATGGTGTCTACCTTTGAAGACTACATGGCCGATTATAGCTCCGTGCTGCATCCTAGTCTCACAGATATACTCGTCGAGGAACTCTCGGACGAGCTGCTTGTCCGCTACCTATCCGCCATCCGTAACAAGGGCGCCAAGTTCCGTCGCCAAGATCCATTCACGGATAAGTTCAAAGATGACGTCTTGACCGTCTTTGGGTTTTTCCAGAAATTCCCGGATGCGTTTGCAAGTACCATCAAAGACCGGTGGCGATTGGTTGACTGGCTTGTTAGGTTGCTGGAGGCGGAGAAGGGTGCTGGTGTCGTGGCGGTCTACGAGGCCTTTAAGACTGAGTATTGGGACCTGCAGTTGTCTTGGGTTGAGGCAGTGTTGAGGAGTCGAGATGATTTTGAGAGGTCGATGGTTAGTGCTGTTAAAGCAAAGGCTGCGGAGTTGTATGTGGAGCGCGGCGTGGAAACTGTTATGGGCAAAGTACGATAATTTTGGCTGAGTTATATTGTACTGCGAACGAGGGTGTTTTTTTTTTTTTTTTTGCTTCCCTCTTTATTTTTGCAGCATGGGTCTCTGTGACCTGCCAAAATTTTGGCACTCTCTGTTGGCCGTTTCTCCGTTGGATAGGTTCTTCTCTTGTCTTAGGTATATATACCAAACGGATCCGGACAGGCGCTTGTTTCTCTAGGGGCGTTTTCGATACTTGTCTTTTCCCCATCATTTTTAAAAACAATTGATTAATTCACATACTCTCTAATTAATATTCCGAGCGCACCCTCCTCAAACCAACCCATCCCCGTGCGCCCATCACATACAGCCGGAAATACTGTGCTTGATCTATACACAGTCTCCCGGTATCTTTCGTAGTCGACATTGAAACAAAACATCCATGGAACTCCTGAGCCTAGACCACACTAACACCCCCGTCATCAGATTCCCTACTATCCCTGCTATCGCCGTCTCCATCCTCATCCTCACTCCCATCTCTACTCCCATTGGTATCTCCTTCTCCCTCTCGAGATGCAAAGATCAAGCTTCGCTCCCCAACACTAATATATGCCGCCCCCAACACTGCCCCATCATTCGCCCTGTCTTCCGTCACCGGCTTCGCACCCAGTTCGCATATACAGACACGATCAATCAGGATATTTTTAGCCCAGACGAAAACTGATTTCTCCCTTCTTTTGGCCAGACTCGCTTTCTGCCTCCCTGGATCCTTACCCTCCTGTTCTGCTACGGACTGAACCCGACTCTGGGGTAGTTTTCGCTCCTGGTCGCTGCCTTCTGGATCTGCGTCTGCGTCTTCTGCAGCAGGTGTATAGTTGCCAAATTCCATTAGAAGATCCCGTGCATCAAACTTGAACATTTCCCTTCGTTTCCCCTCTCCCCGCTGGCTGTGGGGAACGTGGACTGTATTTACGACTGTGGCGTGCAGGAGAAAGGGGCGGGGTCTCCTTTTCCTCTGACTTGATGTTTGAGCAGCAACCTGTTTATCCTCATTTCTATCGTCGCCTTGCTTACCTTCGCCATCCGAGTCACAAATGTCCTTGGTACCGGGGCTGCCAGCCTCCATTTTGGGGGGAGAGGCGCCACCCTTAATTATGTCCTGCTCCATAAACCCGGCATTGATGAATTTATTCCGCAAGCTGACGCAGAACGGATATAAGCGCGCCGTACTGTCTACGGGGTTTGCATAGAGAACGGTGGCCGCTCGCGCGTTGGGAAGTGCATGTAGGGAGGTTAAATTGATAATGAAGGGTTCCACAGGCGCATCAGCAGCAGCGCCCATTACAGTTTCTGCCTTTGCTCTCGTGCCCGCGGTCTTCGCCTGGCTCTTCGTTTGGCTCTCCACATCTCGTAACATCGCTTCAAGATCTAGGGATTTCAGGAATTGCAGCGCCTCTTCCTGGCGTTCCTTCGTTGGCAGACTCATGACGCCAAGCGTCAGATGCAGAGTCCCCAGCGGCTTAAGAGCTGCATCTGGCACAAGGGGCCTGTCAGGGAGCCGTGCAGATACTGGAAGGGGCCGAAGCGGGATGGCATCTTTGAACTCCGCCAGGGAAGAGGCTAGTTGTGCAATAGAAGTCTCGTTTACCAGCGGCAGACTGAGGAAATGGGTTTTGCGGGTCCTACTACTGCTACTTTGGCTCTGGGAAGGTTGCCTGGCCCTGCGCTGGTAATTCGAACTCCTGCGGGGCATGCTTATGCTGCGCGAATGGAAGTTGGAGCGACGGTTTGCGAGAGAATGTTGTGTCGATTCCAGAAGCTACGGGAGAGGCAAAATCTACCCATATATATACAAGCATTCAACGTTCGTCTCCGCTCGCTTTTGGATGCGTGAAACATGCACTGCTTGCTACTGGCGGGTCACTCAAGCCGTGTTGGTTCCAACACCGTCAAACCAACGCCGAAGCCAAGTCATCCCTTCGACGAGTCTCACGTGTCTTTTAAACACGTGACAGGATTGTTGATCCCCCAAAAGAAAAGGCGTTGTTCAGTAGAGTAGTTAAGAGAGACAAGAACAAGACCGGGTAAACTGGGGGAGTGGGAGGGGGTTATGTAGAATGAACTCGGATCGCGGGGGATCTGCTAGATAATTGACGGATAGGAAAGTTACTCCACTGTACATTGGTGCGCATGCTAAGTTAGGTACCGATCTCGGTACCTGGGAATGATTAAATGCATATTTTATTATAATTGCTTCGGCTGATCTGATTCGTCCGTGGCCACACCAACCCGACATCCCGTAAACACCGTCAATTCCAAAGCCATTCCTTTCTAGCTGCTGGAATTGGGACCAGTTGTACAAAAGAGTGCCAGACAACCGGCATCCCTCTACGTTCTTGTTCCTATATCCCCTCCTCCACCTCCATCATGCTCTCCCGGACGAGCTCCCGAACGGCCTCCTCCCTTCTCCGCTCGGCCAGCAACAGCTCTCCCGCCCATCTCCTCCCGGCCATCACAACCACTACCACCACTGCTCTCCGCACAGAATCGCCTTTCCTATCCTCAAGGAAATTACGGCGTGGGTCACCAGCCAAGATCTACTACCGCCGCCTCCACTCCACGCCCGTTCTCCGCAAGGGGATCACACCCGGTTCCGCCGACCCTGCCCCGCCCAAGGTCGAATCGTCAAATCCAAATATCGCTGGCGGAGCAAATCACGTCATGCAACCGTCGCCATTGACGGACGAACAGTACCGTGAATATTCAGAGCATTATTTCAACCTCCTACTATCACAGATCGAACAATTACAGGAGGATGGTTCGGATGTCGAGGCAGAGTATAGCGTATGTTCCCTGCTCTATCTAAATACACAGTCTCCCCTCCCCTGACTTGTTAATTCCCTTTTGTACTCGCTGTTCTTTGGTTATTTGTCCTATATCCCAATCAAACGTGCAATTGGCTTTACGCCGTCTCCTTCCTGCTACACCTCAACTTTCTTTACCCTTCTATCCTGCATTTTGTTGTCGTCCGTTTTCTACAATACTAATAACCCCCCATCTTTCTCCCCGTCCATACAGGCTGGCGTCATCAACATCACCGTCCCCAACTCCGGCGTCTATGTGCTCAACAAACAGCCACCCAACAAGCAGATATGGCTCAGCTCACCCTTATCGGGCCCCAAACGCTACGATTGGGTTGTGCAAGGTGACCATATGGATGAGAAGGAAGGCACACGCGAGTTCATCAAGGGCCAATGGATCTATCTGCGCGACGGCTCGAACTTGACCACCTTGCTCAATGAGGAGTTGAACCTGGGCATAAAGTATGATGTCTACGAAGAAACTGAGGTTTAGGAGGTTGATTGGTGCTGTGCTTGTATTATATTTATTCAACGCGAGAATTTAATTCCATAACAATAACTTCATAGCATATCCACCCAAAAAGCTGTACAGTTATCGTGGTAATAATCTTACGCTTCCTCCATCTGCTTCATCGTACAGACTCTTCCACACTTGGCTTTAATTTTTTTCATCCCATATTGTGCCCTCACCACTCCTTGGACATCCGAGACAGCGTCCCCATCGCGACAAAAGCACCCGTAGATGTGTTTCGAGTGTTGCGACCTGAGGCCGTTATTCCGCACAGCCTTTGACGAGAACTGCTGACATACCACTCAGCATGACATCTTCTGTTGGAAATAATCCTCGAGGAGCTGTGAAGCATCTGGCCATCACAGTGAAGACCTAACCGGTCCAGAAATACTGTTGACGGCAGTCGAATATCTGTTTCCCCTTCCATAATAGTCGGATGGCGCAGCACAGGTACTGTACATTCCCTCAGGTGCCATCCTACCTCATCCTCTTTTCCTCCCCATTCTCTTATCTTCTATATCCTGTTGCCTTGATCCTTCACCACATCGTCGGCCCAACCGCCCGGGCAATGGCGTTTGTTCGATATTCCAATAGTAACGAATACTGTTTTTGTCTTCTAACTTTAATCTTCCATGATCTCCTCCGCTGCCACCTACGCCTTCGCAGTGATCGTAGCCGCCGCGACAGCACCAGAACCCGTACCGTCGTTGTCTTTTGGCAGATCATCCTGTTGCGGACACCACGCTTGTTAGCAACGAAGGGGCTCTTTCATCTCTTTCCGCCATCCCCCCAATCAAAAAATATATATATATTAAAACGGTCATCACTAACCAAATCAAAAATAACCCTAACCATCAAACTGCAACTGGGACACACGGCAATCTCCTCCCCATCTCGCAGGTCTGCAATACCGATCTCGAACCGATCGCCACAGGGACACGGGTAGTGGTAGATTTGGAGGGTTGGGTCGTAGGTCATGTCTTCGATCTCGATTTCATCGTAGATTGAGAGGGCTTCGGTGTCTGCCATGATTCTGGTATGCACTAGAACGGCAATATATGGTACGTAGGTTTGTGTGCACGGAGTTTGGTTGGGTTTGCGATATGCAATGTGATTTTTGGACTTTTGAGGTTGGGTTGGCAGGAAAAACTTCGCCAAGAACAGCTAACTTTTTCTGTCATCGAAGGCGGTGAAGATGCGGAGGTTAAACAATTTTAACATTATGGATGAAAATATATAACAAAGAATAACTAGTAATAAGGTATATAGCTCATACTCCTCTCAGATACATTGACAAATTAACAAGATGTAGTGATCCAACGCTTCACCAAAATAAGGAAAAGAAGAAAGAAAGAGAAAATCCCAACCAACGCCGTTCCCAGCGCATTCAAAATTCAACACAACCCTTCTCAACATCAACCCCCCAATCTTCTAATCTCCATCCTCACACCATCAACCTCCTTAACCAAAGCTCCATACCTCCTTGCAATCTCCACCATAGCCCCTGGCTTTTCTGAACCACCGTCGCCATCTGCACCAGCACCCTCACCAGAATCGGCCCGCTCATAGGCCTCCAGCTTCAGCACAGCCTGCTTCCTCCTCTCCTCCAGTCGTAAACGCGTATCATCCAGATGATCGCGATAACGCGCCAACGCAGCCGTGGTTTCCGGCGTGTAGATCGCTGAAAGCATCTCATGTCTCATGATACTGTATGTAATCGTGTAGATGCCGCGATATTAGCCAAATATACTCATAAAACCAACAAGAACACACCCAAAATGTGTAGATGAATATAGATATATTCCAGATCTACATATATCGTTATTTACGTATAGAGATGTAGGGATCAAAAAAAAAAAAAAAAAAAAAAAAAAAACATACCAAACCTTCCCCTCAATCCCCTGCAACACCACCGCCACATGCTCAGCCCTTGCCTTCCCGCCCCGCGCCAACGCGCCATGTTTCGTCCGCTCAAGAATATGTATCATCCGCTCCATCACCTGGGCGTGCGCAGCCAGCACCGCCGCAGCCGTGACTGTCAATTTTGTCCGGGCTGTCGGGAGATCGTGCGATTGAATGGTGCGCAGGGTGCGGAGGCGGTTGGATAGTTGAGATGGGAGGGAGATGTCTGCTGGCGAAGGTTTGAGGGAGAGCGGACGAAGGCGATTGCGCGGGCGTGGTTGGTTGGTTGGTTGGTGGGCGGGTTGTCTGTCACTGCTGTTGCTGTTGTGGTTGTCGGAGTTGGAGGTGGAGGTGGAGATTGTGCTTGCGAAGGATTTGAGATGGGATAGGTCTGCGGAGAGAAGGCTGGAGATAGAGGGGATGAGGGAGGGGATGGCGGAGTGGAAGCGCTTCAGGTCGGGGGAAAATAGAGAGTGGAGTTCATCGTTGTTGGCACTGTTTTTGAAGCTGGAGGAGGTATGTTGGATGTAGAGCACGATGACGGAGACAAGGTTTCGGAGCTTTTGTTTTTCGGATGGTTGTCGATGACGACCCGAGCTGTTAGCCGATGTGTCTCTTCCATTCCAATGCCATTTGGAGGGGGGAAGAGAGAGAGAGAGAGAGATTAACCCGCCCTCCTCACCAGCTTGCATCGTATCCAATGGTTATACACACAAACAAACTTACCTCATCATCCAAGCCCCCGTTCGACTCCTCCACAGCAACCCGCGCAACAACCCTCCGCAGAATTCTTGTCTTCACAGCTCTGATCAAATATTTCTTAAGATCCTGTTGCAACATGGCCAGATCAGTCATCAATACCACACACACACACACACAGACACAGACACACACCTCCCCCTTCCATCCACCAATCCATCGCCATTAACTATATATTAAGTACATGAATATACGCGTCGTAGATAAACTTACAGCCTGCACCGCTCTCCGCGACGGATCCGCCGCATGTGCTCGCGTGGAGCCATCGGGATTCAATATTGTTGTTGTTAGTTGCTGGTGTAGGGCTTTGAATTGGGGGTTATTGGTTAAGATGGCCGGGTCGCAGGGGGAAATCATAGTCGGTTTGAAAGGGTTGGGGTGGATTGGAGGGAAAAGGTGGTGTTTTGTGTTTGGAAATTGGTTATTGTTGAGTGTTGATTGTTGGTCGAGAGTTTGTAAAAGCGAGGAACAAAGCTTGAGCGTAACTAGCGCAGGGGGCAGCAATCCTTGATTGATAGTTAATTAGTTATTCTGCTACTAATTACGTCACTGGCAGTTTCATGGTGATATATACAGGACAGCTAGAAACAGAACACAAAATAGTTCGAACCACTTATTGCCTTTTCATTTTCATTTTTTGGTCTTGTCAATTCTCATATTAGTAATATCATACAAGGTAGAAAAAATCCTTCCTCACCCAACCCCCCCACAAAGCAAAAAAACAAGAGCTAAAGCAACAGTGGCACAAGACAGAAGAAATGCAAAAACAAAAAAGAACTAAGCGCCAGCAAGTTTTTATCCCCAACAAAAAAAAAGCTGCAGCAGCAGTTGCAGCAGCAGAAACATCAAGCGCAAAATCAAAGTAAAGCGGCCATTCCTCGCCCGCACTGCTCGGTCAGTCAGAGCCTTTGTAAGATAAAGAAGAAAAAACCACCAGCTGCTGAAAATGTGATACAACGGCTTTAAAAAGACTAGAAACATCAAGTCACAATCTCACTTTCCTCGGCTAATTTAACCGGAATATCTGAATCTCTAGGAGGAAAACTGTTCGACAAGTAGTCGGGGATGGCTTGTTTGGTTGAAGCAGGAGTTGAATGAGTACACAAACATGGTGTTGTGGCGAAGGGAAAGTAAAACAACTGGGTCTTTCCCTAGAATCTGCTAAGATAAAGAGATGGGTTGCCTTCGAAACTTTCCCTTTTGCTCTTCTTTTTCTCCTCGCCTTTCCATAGCACCATAACTGGGTGCTCAACTTGCTCAATACAGGTGAAATAGAGAGGACGAGGAAATAATAAAATGAAGCTAACATCATTGATCATTTGTGAAAACAATGGAGTTTGAAAGTGGAAACGGAGAAGAGAAAACACCGCCTAAACAGGTGCCTTGAGAGCGAAAACACGAATTTCAAGCTCATGATTAAAATGAAGTCTGGCTTTTGTCAAATAAATATGTACGTGAAGAAACTGAAATTGGCTGATGAAGGGGTGAAGTTCACTGTTAAGCGATGGGAGGGGGGAGAGGCGGTGGTGTCGAGGATACATGTAAGGACAACAACGCCTTAAGAATGGATCGATTGATGGTCAGCGTATGAAGTTGCTAGTGGCAACCTATGGGTTTCTTTGGAAGGGATGAAATCCGGTAGTACGGAGAGCGGGCAAGAGGAGCGAGAACGAAAATGAGAGAACAATGATAGAATCTACTCTTCTTCACTCTCCTCGGAGTCATCGTCATCTTCACTGCTTTCAGCGGCTTCAACAGATTGAACTGTTTAAAACGTTAGAATAAACGTACACATGATGGGAGATATGTCCGAAGATACCGGTGCCAGAGAGAAAATATTAAACATACTAGGCTCAGGCGAAAGTTGCGATTTCCCACCTCCCCCCTGGAAACGAGAGATAGTACCTTCGATGCTATTAATACGGGCCTCTTGCTCATACTTGCTCATGGGCTTATTCTTCTTGGGCTTCGATGACGCCACGATGGGCGCGGGATCTGGTTCCGGTTCATCAATCTCCATAGCTGCAGGAGCATGTTTCTTGACAAATTTGAGCAAGACAAGGAGGACTTCATTGGGTAGTTCGTCAATGTCAAGTTCTATTTCGGCTTCTTTGGTATCCTGTTTTACGCTCAATTTGATTAGCCTATTCTTTCACGCGATAAATCGCACATTTATGGAACTGTAGAATGGATAAACACGTGACGTACCTTTAACCCTGGAACGTTTGACTGAATAATCTTAAGGGCCTCCGTCATTCTCTTCTCAGGCAAACTGCTGATGCCGTTAGAGATAATTTGCTTTTCGCGATACGTAACCCAGTGTTGCTTCTCAGATTTGCTTGACTTGGAACCGCTCTTCTTGTTATCTTTCCTCCCAGATGCACCACCACCAGTCCCGCCGCCAGATCCTTTCTTGGCGGTATCCTTTTTGGTGGATTTCGATTTGCTTGATTTCTTTGTGCTACTTGGGGGGGTCTTCTTTTTCTTTTGAGTAATCGCCTCGACCTGTTTAGACATCTCCGCAATTTGTTTCTGGAGCTGGTTCAATTTCTCCTGGTCATTGTCTTCCTCACTGTCCTCACCCTCAAAATCACTGCCATTGTCAGACGTGCCAGGGCTTTGATGGCCGGAGGTAGGTTCGTGAGCTTCGATCCAACGACGTTTCTGGCTCCACTTGTTGTCAAACAATTCTTCCATGCTTTTTCCAGCGTTGAATGTCGGATCTCCAGGGATGTTGAACTTGTAGCAATTTTTGAACATTAGGCGGATATCAGCTTCCATCTCCTTTGCATTCTCATACTGACCGGTCCGTAGCTTAGTTTGGACAGTCTGCAGATCCATAGGTTTCTTAATTACACTATGGTAAGTTGGAATATTCAGCGCAACTGGGTCAACAGGGTGGTAGAATGGTGCAGCGATGAGATAATGTTTAGGTTTGTGAAGCTCGTCAAGCACTTCTTGGCAGAATTTCAACTCCCATTGGTATTTCTTCTTTTTCGGCTTCGCGCTATAGGGTAGCTCGCGATTTTTTGGAGGGTGAATCGAGCGCTTAGGCCTCCCATCAGCAGTGCTGGAATCCCGACGGATGAGAGGCAGTCCTTCAGGACCAAGCGCAAACGTCGTCGTAGGAGATACAGCAGGTGCAGGACGTGCATTATTGCCCGCAGAACCTCTCGACTCACGTCGGGCAGGCTGGGTTTTAGTAGGAGCAGTAGCCGTCTTCTTGGCCTTCTTTTCCGCAGGAGTCACTTCCACTTCATCTGCCTTGGGGAGTTTAGACAGATGGCGCTCAAAGTTCTGCTTGAGATTTCGGCCTTCCATGCTAACCACATGGTCGGCTCCATTGAACGTGACAGAGTTCTCAATCATCAAGTTGAAATCCGCAATAACTGCATCAACTGAAGCATATGATCCCTGCTTTAGCTTATCTTCCATGGTTCGCAAATCCATAGGATTCTTTATGATAAGGGGGTAGTTTGGAATATTCAGCTTAACAGCGTCTACCGGCTCTCGGAAAAATCTAGCGTCATGAAGACGTTTCAGGCCTTGAAGGCATCGAGTCAAAAATCTTGTCTGCAATTTTGTGACAGGGCTTGTCGGCTGAGAAGCCTCACTTGCGGGGGCGGCGGTTTGAGTGGGAAGCTCAGGAACTTTAAATTCTGGCGCAGCAGGCGCAGAGTCATCTGTCTTGGCACGCTTTGAGGAGGGTTCCTCATCTACATCCTCTTCCCGTTCCCGTGAAACCTTTCTTGGTGGTGCAGGGGGGGCATCTACCATCTCTTGGTCCTCCTGTGGCTGTTCCTCGACCTGTGAAGGCTTCACAGTTTCAGATACAGGGGCAGGCTCAGCAGGCTCAGCAGGCTCGGGTTTAGGTGCCGCTTCCTGCTCCAGGGCCGCCATAGCCGCAGATGTACTTCCAGGGGACAGTGGAGAAAGAGAAGGCAAGTTCGTCGTGGTAGGAACGGGTTGAGAAGGGATGATGTCAGGAACAGGGGTAGTTTCATTTTGAGGAGCCGGAGGTGATGGGATCTCCTCTTTTTGAGGTTCCGGCGGTGTGATAGTATGCTCCTTTTGAATAACGGGTAGTGACCGCTGATTTTCGCTCGTAGAAGGTGGAAGTGGCTCACTTGCAGGAGCAGCTTCTGGCTTTTTCATTGTCGTGTCTACAGGAGAGTTTTCTGGAATTGGCTGGAAATTGAGGGGAGAAGGCGATAGCACGTTGGCAGGCTCCGAAGATGGTTTGGGAGCTTCACTCACGCCCTCATTCTCAGCAACAACAGGGAGTGTTTCTGTCAGTGGAACAAACACCTCCTCCGGTTGGTTAGATGATGGCAGATCTGCCACAGTTTGCAATACAGGTTCTGGCTCTGGTGCTGTGGAGGTTGGGACTGCTGCCTCCGGTCCTGCTAAAGAAGCTGTTTCCTGTGTTGTTGGCGGGGAGTTTGGGGGATATCCTTCATTGGCTGAAGCATCCGCTCCCTCAGCAGAACCATTCACGCCATTTGGCAGGGGTTGATGGAGCCCATCACCCGTCACAGCGGGCGAAAGGGGATGATTTTCATCCACAACAGCTTGATTTACCTGTGGCTCTGACATGGTTTCAGGAAGCTTCACCGTGACAGGTTTGGTTTCTAGAACCGCGGTGCCACTTTTGGACGATGATGACGGCCGGTTAGTAACAATGATCTCTCTCTTTTTAACATGTCACTCACAGCGATACATGGGTTGCCTGGATGGATGGATGGAGATTACTCACCCTAGCAAGTCCTCATGGAGAGTCACCTCTTCGACGGCGGGTGATGGTTGAGGTTTGTTCTCCACAGCCGAAGAGTCTGGCGGAGGAGTCGCCATGGTCATCGGTGGCAATCACGTGAGAACTCGGGAGGGTTGGGCAACAGCCACCAACACACGCCCTCACCCGCCGGGCGATCGAATAGGAAAAGAGCGTCGCGAAGCTAAACAGAGCAGGCCAGAGAGAGGAAAGAAGCAACGACTCGTTGAGCAGCTAGCTAGAGCTTGGTAGGATCAAAATATACCCGATTCCGGGACTTTTGGGCCCCCGTTTTTTTTTCTGACTAAGCCAGGTTCAGGAGAACTTTAAAAGACTAGACGATGTGGGGTGCTGTCAGAGCCATAACATAAGAATGCATGCAGGAGAACAAAAATATAATATCACAGGATATTGTAAAAGCATAGAGATGCGTGCTTCCTTAAAAGGAATCTCTGGATGCTCTGTTGGTTGTTGTATTAATTTAGGGGGTGGTTGGAAATACAGAACTTGCCAAAAGGGGAAAAAGCAAAAAGAACAGGAAAAGAAAAAGAAAAAGGGGAGGAGTGGAGTGGAGGATGTGCTATTTATATTGCCAAGAAAGCTTGTGATCACGTGGTAACATTAGTCATCGCAGGAACGGGTGGGAGAGGAACACAGATAGAGTGAAAGGGACAGAGATCCCAGGCGGTGATTGGATAGGGGGACAGCTGCGAGGACAAGTGCAAAAGGGGGACAAAAGCAACAACGCCGCGGGAGTTAAAGGTCAGTCTTGTAATCCCGCTTGCTAACCAGAAAGGGACAAGTTCGGGGAGAGATGGAGTGGAAATATGGGTACAGGTGGCTTGGAAGTGACCTGGTATTTGCCTAAACTACCGTACCTATCAGGTGACAGATAGGAAGTAGGGCACTGTAAAAATTATTCATGCCACAGTTTTAATAAAAAAGACATGAGAGAATAAGACAAGGTGGGCAAGTAAACAAGATAATATGCATGCATAGAGCTGCTGACAAAGCAAGAACAAGAGAAAGAACCTAACTAACTATTGGAAAATTCAAAAGGGGCAGAGCAACAATGAGGGCGTTCTGCAATAGAAGATGAAGGGGGGAAGAATACAATGGTTCCCCAGACGGCGCGCAAAAGTGGCAATAAGTAAAGAGAAAAAAGGGATGGGGGTAAATGATAATAATACGAACAGTCATGCAACAGCTGGAGCTGACGAGAGTTGTTGGTCGTGGGCGTATATATGTATGTGCGTGTATTTATTATAATTGTTGAACGCTCCCTCCCGGGGGAGGTGGGGGAAAAGGGTTGAGTGTGTGTAGTCGCGAAAAGTCTGCTGGGGGCGTTGAGCGAATCGGGGAAAGCAGGTGCGTGACCAGAAGAAACGAGACGCGGAGGCGAGAGGCGAGGCAAGGCAAGCGAAAAAGAGAGACAGAGAAAATCGGAGGGGGGTGCTAGAATCCTTAAGTACGGGCAGTCCCTCTCTGCCCTGCGTGTGCCAGGGAAGCACGCCAGCCTGCTTGCCCAGCCTGCATCCGCTAGCCTCGGTTGACGCTTGCTAAAGGCGGCGATCCCTGTTCATGCCATTCTGCGCGCGTTGATTGGCTAAGACGCGTCCGGAGGATCCCCCGGCTCATTAGCTGATTGGTTTGTTTGGGTCGCTGGTTTTGGGGGGGTTGCGGGAACTGTGAGTTCTTGTCCCCAACCAAGGCCTCTTTTGTGTTTTTGTGTGGTATTTCGTGGTATGATACTGTACGGCTGGTACGGCTCAAATACCAAAAATACCACTTCGCCACAGCCACAAAGTGCATTTTCGAGTTTCCTTCAAAGGTAGGGTAACTTTCACCCATAACTTTCTTTCTGGGTGGTGACGACAACTGTAGTTACCACAAATACAAGTTTTGATTTCAGGCGCGCGTAACAGATTTCCTTCTAAACAACTATGTTTGTGAGACACGGGATATTCCACTCCTCCCCTTCACTTGTATGTGGGAGGCCTGGTTCTCTTTTTATACATCCCAGGTTATTAGGGCAGCGCGTGTCAGCAGACCTTGCATCTCCCGGCTTTATTAATTAGACAATCGCTCCCTGCCCGGGCTTAACCCTGACACTTCTCCTTTTCTGGGGTGGGTGTGGGAGTACTTGGGCACTGGGCACTGAGCACTGGGCACAACCAGCTAAAACCCTGGAATCGATTCCAGTACGAGGTAAAATTGTGCCCCCAATTCGGAAATACCGGTATGATACACGAGCATCAGGGTTCATGTGGGTCAGAAGCCAATCATGGTTGCCCTTTCCCATGTCACCGTCGCCCAAAACTATTTGCTTAGATAATGCAGGAGCAAGGCTTGGCAGGCAGATGCCAAGATTCGCTCGGTTTAATTTGAATCTTCCTTGCGCTTGGAGAAGATGTTGATGCGGCGGAGGAGGGTGGCGTGTTTCTCCGCGAAACCAGGAGGGATTGCGATCTATGGATGAATTCTGGGGTTTGGAGGAGTTCTTCGTCATTTAAGCTGGATGAGAATTGCAGTGTTGAATAGTCAACTTCCTGTACGTTGTACGGAGTACTTGGGTTGAGCCGGAAAAATATTCAGTCGCATCCACACCAAACGCTCCTCTTGAGTCTATTATGCCAACGGCTAATCAACCCTGTGTGTCTGTCTGTGTCTGATGACGTTTGTTTTGGCATACTCTTTGCCGCTCCCTTCTTCACTTCACTCCGCTCCAGTGGATGAATTACAAAGAACAGCGCATGGGATGGTAGAGGGTATTATGGTAAAGATGATTTTAGATCAAGAGTGATGCAGATGCAGCTGGACCAGCTAGCGCTACGAGGAGGAGTTCCAAAGACAGTCAATTCTGCGTTCTCATTGGCTTCTTCAAGTAACCGTTGAAGAACTCGCTGACTCTCGCGTCGATATCTCTTCCTATTCTTATGGATTCCTGTTTGATACTGAGATGGATTCAAAGCATCTTCCCTTCCCCAAACCGGTCGAATAACTACTGGTGCGGCTCCATTTCCTTCCTGTCGCAGCTAACGTACCCCCAGAAGATCCAGTTTATTCCACCAGCCTGGGTAGAAATCGTTGCGGGCTCATGAATGTCAGACCCTGGAGCGGAAAGATACAAAACATTGTTCCCCCTAACAGAAAGGGTTGAAACAAACAAAAATGGAAGCGTATGGGAGACGGCCATATTTGGCTTCATGAAAGCTGTATACACATATTTTCCATACTGATAATGAACCTAATTCCGCAGATTTTTTGCTGAACATCAATCAAGCTTCATGTCCTACAGATCGCCGGGTGTGGGTGCATTGGCAAGAGTCCTTTGTATGTATAGCACATACATATCCTCACCCATCTACAATGGAGGGTCCTCTTCAAAGATGCCCCGCTTCTCCTCTATTACGTTCGAAGACAGCAAATACCCTCAACATATATCTACAACACTTGCTACTCGGCGATACACCATCACCACCCGGGGGGAAGGGAGGCTGGGGGGGTTTTTCTGCTGTCTGACATCGGCATGCTGCTGTATGCGGATGTCATATATAAGTCTGCATGTCGATTTTTGGTTGTTCTCTAGGGTACTTCTGTGGATGTATGTTTGCAAGTCAAACAAAGGTCGCATTCCCACTGAGTCATGTGGCGCAAAGCTGCAGGTCAATCGATAAAACAGCGGTAACGGAGTAGTAATGTGGCTCTGATCCTTTGTCTGCAGGGTGGAGCTTTTGTATTTCTTACAGAAATATCAGACGGGTCATTGTTTAAGGTTAATTGCCTGTGGAATCTTCATGATTTGGATATGCATGCACATTTTCAGGTGGAAAGGATGTAAGGAGATGGTCTGTGTAAAATGGGTTGTTTTGTTTGACAGGAGTATTTCCTCGGCGCAAACAAAAAAAGAATTTAGGATACATTGGCTCACCTTCTTGGCTTTTCCCGTAATACCGCAAACATCCCGTATATCGAATCCCGTATATCGAAGTATTATTGGCTGTCTTAAAATTCCACTGTTCAATTGTATGAATATTAACTCCTTTTTGGCTGCGAAATAATAACCTTTGGTTCCCCAGTTCCAGCAGCTAATTTCCAATTTGAAGCTGACTAATCAAATCTAGGTTGAGCTTCTTTTTCGATTTCTATGACGCTAGTCTGTATCCAGACAAGCGCATCATTTTTCTGGAAGCATCAACTTTTTTCCCACAAGCAAAATATCATCAGCGCAGGCAGAGCAGAGACAACGTTGTGGATAGTTTGCCAGGCGGACGGTCTCCAGCGGTTCCCATCGTATTTCTCGCTGAGGGAAATTGGCATCTATACCGCCAGACTCGGATCCTCGTTCTCCGCTGCACCTCATCGACGACAACGTAAAACACTTCCCTCCTTCTCTGGCAAACCCCCTTTCCAGCGCATTTATCCGTTGATATCAAAACCATGGGGACCAAAAAGGGCTCCAGAGGCCCCGTCTCTAAAATCTCTTCAACAGCAGCACCATCAATATCCCCCTCAACCCTCTCATCAAATAAATCCTCCGTCCTTCGCTCAGCATTCTCCCCATCCGAGTATCAACTGGCGCTTTTCGCTTCGGTCATCCAGGGCCTAGACTCCCAGCATCTGCGCGTTCACGAAATTGGCACTGGGCGTTTACAGCGCGAACATGTTGTAAATCCAAGGGAAGCGATCACTTCGTTGGATTGGGGCTCCTATGGCGATTCTCTGAACAGCAGAGATCACCATCAGCATATGAAGAAGAAGCGAAAGCGCAGTTCATCTGGTGTAAATGGCATTGCGGATGTAGATGCGAATGCGTCTGTGGCTGTGGAGAATGTGGTTATTGCGTTTGGAACCAGTTCTTCCGATATCCGCATGTATTCGCCGGCGGAAGATAGGATTGTTGGTACTCTTTCGGGTGGGCATGAAAAGGGGATTAGGGATTTTAAATTTACCGCGAAAAGCCCTGTGGCGGAGGGTTGGAGCATTGGTGGTGATGGGAAGCTTGTGCAGTGGGATTTACGGACTGGCAGAAGTACACGGTATGCTCAGTGATCCTGGTCATTTTCTATTTTGATTCAGA